GACGGTCCTGCTGCTGCTGCTGCCGCTGCTGGTCCTGCCGGGGGGCTGCCGCGCGTTGGAAGGTGAGCCCCGCCGAGCGTCAGCGCGGTCTCGGGGAGGGATTGGCGCCTGCCTGGATCCAGCCGCTTCTGGACACGCGTGCACGTGGGAACGAGCTCTCTTGGGAGCAGGGGTCACTGGCGTGGGATACGGTGGGGAATGGCAGTCCGTCATTCATTATGGGAAGCCCAAGACACGCGTTGCTCCTTCTCCTGCCTGCTGGTCCACGCAAACTGTTTTGCACAGAAAGCTCGGACCTGTCCTGCGAAGTGCTGGCCCGACCGTTGTCCCCGGGCACCCTTCTCACCCCATCCGGGAGCCTTCCTTTCCCCCACACCCAGATTGTCTAACAGAGGCCAATAAACCGTTCTCTGGAGACCTGAGTAAAGCATATGTTCGCTGCCCGGCTTGAGGGCCCAGTTTATTTTCAGTTCTTTAGCTTTCCTGAACTCCCTTGCCGAGATTTCTCTCCCTATCCTCCTTAAGAATTGGCGAGGCTTTGCAGATAGATTGTGTTAGAAGCAGCCGAGGAGATCAGTCTGAAATCCGTGGGACGATCTTAGCTATGCACAAGCTAAGTCCTCCTTCATTTCGCATCAGCTGTATTCACACCAGCCTCTATCCCCACAGTTTGCTCAGCCCAATTTCCCGGGTTCAGAGGAGCCCCCATGGGCTGGGCTCTCCGAGCACGGTAATGCAAAGTGTGATTGGTTAGGTTGTCGGTGTACGGTGAGGGCACGGCCAACCCGAGTTACGTGCTTGTCGCCCAGCTAGAATTTTTCACAGACACAGTCCTTTCAAACCTGCCCATTGAAATGGGTGAAAATACGCAGTTGATGCTTGATGAGAAGCTCAGAAAAATAGTTCATCCTCGCTTTTAAATTACAGCCCTTTCTGATGAATTTGGAAATTCTCCGTTCTCTTTGTCACGGGGAGAAAATGGGCTCTTTTCTTGCCAGAGAAAGTTCGGAGTTTTGCAAAAGGGGTTGGTCGCTGGGGGAATGAAAGTTGTCCTTGTCATGGGGGATCACAGATCATGCCAAACTAAAATGTGGTTGCTTTGTTTTGAGTTAACATACCGCGTGAACCTAATCAATTGCGGCTTATTCAACAAGTCTTGATTAAAGAAAGCAGGACTTGTGTGAACTCCGTCCCTGTGTTGTGGTTAAGTGCCATGGCTTCATCCCATTCGTGTTTTAAATTTGAATAATTCAAAGAAGCTTTCTGTAAAGTTCAGTAAAGCAGTTTTGCATCGGCAGGACGGTTTTGTGTTCAACTGATACTTTCCCATATTTCTTCTCATTATTTTGAAAGAAACGCAGCTTCTAGGGGGCAATCTCTCTCTGTGTGTGTTTTTTACTTATTTTTATTTATTTAATCACATTTGTGTAGTCGATCCTCTGTTTCTTTTTCTCTCCACTGTATCTTGAAGGCCAGCGATGATGTTCTTGAGCCTTGTTGAAATCCTGCAGGTTGTCCTTTCAAGAACTTGTTCGTAGTCCTGTGCAAAGAGTTGCTCGCTCAAGTAGGTCTATTGCAAGTTTTAGCTGGAGCTGAAAAGCTCTGGGCTCACGTTGTCCTTTGGGTTCTCAACTTTGAGGCCAGCAACAGTGCAAAAAATCAGAGTCAAAAGTACATTCTCCGCGTGGTCAAGCAGAGCAATCCAGAAGTTGGTACATCCTGAAACGTTTTTGATAAACATTCCCATAATTGATTTTTTCGGATTTGTCCTTGTTCTCCCTAAGCGCCTTAATTTCTCACATCCTCTCTCCTAATGATACAGTCTGCAACTTTAACGTGAGTTTTTCCAGGAATTTTCTGAAGTATATCAAATGTTTCCTCCTTCTTTGAAAGCAGCTTAAAACCTGGCCATGGAACATTGTTGTTTTCCTTGAAACCTTCCAAGCTTCAGACCTTCAAATTCAGTGTCTTTTTTCCCACTTCCCTGTTTGATGCTTCCCTGTTTTATTTTCCAAGGCACCTTGTTGGCCTGAGTTGATTAAAGTCCTCTATTTGTTGGGAGACAGAGAAAAGATAGAGAATAGAGGGGTAGACGAGGAACCTTTTCCTTCCAACCATGCTTTCTGAGAACTAGTATTAGAACTAGAAAAAGGGGAAGAAATCTGGCTGTTGCAGAGAGCGATGCTGCAGCCCTTCTTCCTTTCTGGAAATTAAACAGTGTTGGTGGGAAGATCCTTGGTGGGACATTGATCGCCATTCTGATGAGTGTTTTGCTAGCATCCTTGGCCCATTCATATGTTAAGCTCTGCATGATATTTACACACCAGAACCTTCATGCTTATATGGTAGAGGAAGATTCGAGTTCCTAATCTTGGCCCTGCCAGTCAAGCACATCTGTAGCCCACCATACCCACAAAGGCGAATCTATTTTTTCAGAGGCCTGCGTTACAGTACTACAGCTGGGGTGGGGTGGGGTTCCTGCTCTTCCAGTGGTCTCCATCCATTGTCTTAGTTCTCCAGGGTCCCCCAGTTGGCGTAGCCTTTATTCCAGAACTGATTGCTCCAGTGCAGTGGGTTCTTCGTTTCCTGGGTGTTGGGGTTGGGTGGCCATCAAGTTCAGCAGGGCAGAATGGGTGGCAAAGGGCCTTCTTAACCAGACTTTCTGACCCCGTTGAGCAGGATAAGGAATAAAGGCAGAATTTCCACAGGAGCTTTGTTCCGTAAGCAAGAGGGAAGGGGGTGGAAAATTCAGACCGTTGGTTTCTCCGCCGCCTTCTGAACCGCTGCAAACAAACTCTGGCTCTGATCAGATAATTGGAGGTTCGTGCATTAACCATGCCACCATGGTTAATGCACAAAAGCTGGCTTCTTAACCTGCCCATTTTTTCTCCAGTTTTTCCACCAGCTGGACTCTGTAAATTGATTAATAGTGTGCACTGCATACGCTGTGATTTATAAGTCAGACGCTCTTGACTCCAATCAAGAAGAATGTGGGCTCACGCCCTTCCCTCCCTTACATTGCCATTCCTTTCCCATTTTATGTAGGGTTTTATTATGGATGGTCTGGGGGACTATACAAATGAAAAATAAAATTGAGAAAGTGAAATCCAAAAGGGGCAGCAAGATTGGAATGGTTGTTAACGGTAAATCTAATAAACCCATCACGTTTCGTGCCAGGAATAAATCTGTATGCGCACGCTCCACGTAAGTGGTGGCTGTAGTTCCCCAGTGATCCTGCTCCTTTGCTCTGTGGCCTGTCAGATTTGGCTTGCCAAAAACACGTAACTCCCAGCTCGTTTTGTCACCTTTTCCTGGAGTTTGTGGTTGATGGAGGGGGCGGGCAGTGTAGGCATACCCAGGTTTTTAGTGTTAGCTGGTTCTTTTTCCCCTTGCTCTCCTCGCCAAACCCAGTGGCATGGAGACACTTTTGCATGGGGCTCCTCACTTTGCCTCCTGCGATGCGAGGTAGGATCTTTTGTCTCTCTACAAGGGAGTGCCGAAGAAGAGACAGGCTTGGGAAGAGGACCCGGTTTTACCAAGAAGGGTTGCCGGAGAGCTTTGTGGAACTGGAAAGAAAAAGAGGATTTCCTGCAGGTTCCAGCGTAAGCATGTGGGGTCTGTCTGAAGCTACCGTGTGTTTTTCCCCTCCTGTCCAGCAGCATCTCGGTGGAAGGAAGCTTTGGCCCAGAAGCAATACGTGCTTGGTTTTCTCTGGCAAAGGAGGCGGCTAACAGAGGTCCCTTGAGAACGGCTTTCCTCCTCGGCCAGCAGCTGCGGTTGTCGGAGGGAGATGGAGGGAGCTCTCGGCTTCAAATGCCAGCGTCTTCTCTTGCTTCTTCCTGAGCTTTACCCCCAGTCCTTCATTTCCATCTCAGAAAGCCAGCTGGAAACAATACGGTAGCCGCTGAGAGTCGATTGACAACAGCGGGGTATAAATCCGAGGAGTACATCGCTGTGGTTTAATTTACCAGGCATCAAACCACCCGTTCCATGGCTCTAAGTCAGTGTTTCCCAACCTGGGCTACTTTAAGCTGCGTGGGCTTCAACTCCCAGAATTCCCCAGCCAGCATGGCTGGCTGGGGAATTCTGGGAGTTG